AATCCGAACTCTCCTGCTGCTGAGCATGCTCGCTTTCTTTTAAGGATTGTCTGAGCCCCTTTGTTGGGCATTGGCTAGGATCCCTCAACAGTACAAGCCAACCACTCCTCAGATCAACCCACTGTCTCTAGGCCTTCCTCCAAAGCTGTAGCAGGAGGGAAATTCCAGAGGGGCTGGCCTGCAGAGCCTCTCGGCTCCAGACCACAATTTGATCTTCTGACTATTACACCCAGGCTGCTACTTAGCCCCCCTCTCTAACAATCAGGACTCTAGCTCCCCCTAGCTAACTAGGAGGGCACTACATTGAAGATATATACCTAGCAGAAGGCACAGGAGATGAGGGATATGGTAAATAGTGTTTATTATTATTATTATTATACAGGATTTATATAGCTCCAACAGTTTGCGCAGCGCTTTACAAAATGAAGGTAGACATTACAGATACAATACAATTTGGTACAAGAGGAAACCGAGGGCCCGGCTCGTTAGAGCTTACAATCTAGGAGGAAGGGTTGAGTGATACAAAAGGTAATGGCTGTGGGGGGATGGGCTGATGGAGGAAATAAATGGCAGTTTACTAGGTAGAAGACGTCCATGTGGAATCAGCAACAAAGTCGCATCTAGAGCGGAAGGAGTTAGGAGATTTCTGAGGGCCTATTCAAGGTGATAATCACTGTTTTACAGTGGGGAAAATAATTATTTGATCCCCTGCAGAATTTGTAAATTTGCCCACTTACAAAGAAATGAAGGGTCTATCATTTTTATCATCGGTGTATTTTAAATGATAGAGACAGAATATCAACCAAAAAAAAAAAAAAAACCCCACATAATACAATTGTTATAAATGAGTTGCAGTGAGTAAAATAAGTATTTGATCCCTTACCAACCAACAATAATTCTGGCTCCCACAGACTGGCTCTGTGCTCATGTAGTACACAGATTAGTCCTGTCAATTTAAGAAGGTGCTCTTAACGACAAATTGTTATTTATATGAAAGACATCTGTCCACAGAATCTCTTTTTTCCCATCAAACCTCACCATCATGGGCCAAAGACCAAAGAGCTGTCAAAGGATGTTTGGGACAAGATTGTAGACCTACACAAGGCTGGAATGGGCTACAAGACCATCAGCAAGAAGCTTGGTAAGAAGGAGACAACTATTGGAGCGATTATTCGCAAATGGAAGAAATGCAAAATAACCATCAATGACCTTCGGTCTGGAGCTCCATGAACAATTTCGCCTCATGGGGTAAGGATGATCAAAAGAAAAGTGAGGGATCAGCCCAGAACTACATGGGAGGAGCTTGTGAATATCTCAAGGCAGTTGGGACCACAGTCACCAAACAAACCACTGGTAACCAGGGCTGCTGTCAGAAACCATGGGGCGCCATACAGCCAACTTGACAGGGCCCCCTTAAAAAAAAAACAAAAACAGTTTACTATGCTTCAGTTATGAATGAACACAGTGAGTAATCTGTACAGATCGCTCATTGTGTTCATTTAGAAAGGAAGGGGCTGGTTAATGTGACATAATTATCGGACACTTCCTCCACTCTCCATCATGAAGGATCCTATTGTGGGAAGCCGGCACTGTGGGGGCCTAGACAGCTGGGTGAATCAGATGTGCACAGGGAGGGTGATCGGCATGGTGGGTGGGGGAGAGGGGCAATTACTGGAACCAATCCCCTGTATGGCTCTCTCTGCTGCAGCTGAAAACCAGTGGGAGGGAGAGGAGAAGAATCCAGCTTTCAGATGCTGCAGAGAGAGCCATACAAGGACTGGTTCCAGTAATTGTTCCCCCACTGTTCTGATCACCCTCCCTGCCCACATCCGATTCACCCAGCTGCCTGGGACGCTCTGCTGGTCTGGGCCCCGTACAGGTGGACTGATGGTATCCCCTTATCCACAACCCTGTTGGTAACACAATATGCTGCCATGGATTGAAATCCTGCAACACCTGCAAGGTTCCCTTCCCTTCTCAAGAAGGCCTATCTGAAGTTTGCCATTGAGCATCTAAATAATTCATAGAAGGATTGGGAGAAAGTGCTGAGGTCAGATGAGACCAAAATTGATGAGGCATTAACTCGACTTGCCGTGTTTGGAGAAGAAAAATACTGACTATGGCCCTAACATCACTATCCCTACAGTCAAGCATGGAGGTGGAAACATTATGCTTTGGGGCTGTTTCTCTGCTAAAGGTACAGGCCGACTTTGCCACTAATGGACGCGGCCATGTATTGTAAAATCTTGGATGAGAACCTTCTTCCCTCAACCAGAACACTAAGGATGGGTCGTGGATGTCCAGCATGACAATGACCCAAAACATACTGCCAAGGCAACAAAGGAGTGGCTCAAGAAGAAGCACATTAAGGTCCTGGACTGGCCTAGCCAGACTCCAGATCTTAATCCTATAGAAAATTTATGGAGGGAGCTGAAACTTCAAGTTGCCGAGCGACAGTTAAGAAACCTTGAGAATTTGGAGAAGATCTTTAAAGAAGAATGGGTCAAAATCCCTCCTGAGATGTGTGCAAACCAGGGAACCAACTACAAGAAACGTCTTACCTCTGTGCTTGCCTAAAAGGCTTTCTCCACCAAGTACTAAGTCCTGTTTTGCTTGGGAATCAAATATTTATTTTACTCACTGAACTGCAACTCCATTTATAACATTTGTATCGTGTTTTTTCTGAATTTTGGTTGATATTCCATCTCTACAATTTAAAATATACCTATGATAAAAAATTATAGACCCTTCATTGCTTTGTAAGTGGGAAAACGGACAAAATCTGCAGGGGATCAAATAATTATTTTCCCCACTGTAAATGGCGAATGAACAAATAACATCTACAAGCCCATGTACCATTTGGTCACCGATGGTGGTGACACATTTCCTTTATCCTAGGAGCAGAATAATCACCAGCGAGATAGTCCTTCACACTGTACTCCAAATGTATTTCTTGCTCTATTGGTTGGACAATGCTGAAGATCATCCAAGGAACGCACAGAGAACCCACATTTCCGTCATTCTAATAATTCAGTCATAGAGGTCTTGGGGTTGGCCTCTCCTATTCTTCAAAGCGCAGAATGGGGCATCTGTTCTCTGGTGGAGTCATGCTGGGCCTTGGCTGCCAGTATTGCTGATTCTCAGCTCTGAAGAAAAGGACTTTTCATGCTCAGTATCTGTTGGAAAGGTAATACTAAAAAGCAATTGTAATAATACACAAGGGAGTGAGTAGAGACAACATTGACCAACAATCCCTGGTCTGAACTCCTGAAGCCCAGAGGAGACAATACAGCTGTGGTGGAGCTTTCTCTGGATCAGAGAGTCAATATGGCAAAGAGAATGCAATGCTCTTCCATTATTAGTGGAGTCAGCATCTCTTCCCCCACCAAGTCTCAATAATTGGACCTAACACTGATTCTTCGTACCTGGTTGGTGTTGCATCATATTGTCCATTGTTCTATATGTAGAATTGGTTCTCAGCATGATATATCTGTGGAAATAAGATTACACTTATCAGTGATGGTGATAAAGTGGTAGCTTAGTAGTTAGCACTTCTGTCTTGCAGCACTAGGGTCCCTGGTTTGAATCCCAACCAGGTCACTATCTTATTTTGCTTAGCGTCTTTTAACCCCTTGCCTACCAAGCACTTATATCCCCTTTCTGCCCAGGCCAATTTTCAGCTTTCAGCGCTCTCACAATTTCTTTTGGTGGTATTTATTCTCCGCTGGGTGTTTTATTTTTTGCGCTATAAACAAAAAAAGAGCAAAAAAAAAAGTTTCTTTGTTTCTATTATAAAATTTTGCAAACAGGTAATTGTTCTCCTTCACTGATGTGCATTGATGAGGCTGCACTGATAGGTAGCACTGATAGGCAGCAATGATAGGCAGCATCGATGGGCACTGATAGGCAGCACTGATGAGGTGGCACGGATAGGCAGCACTGATGGGCACTGATAGGCAGCACTGATGAGCCGGCACTGATGATGCTGCACTGATGCGCAACAATGATGGGCACTGATAGGCGGCACTGATGGGTGGCATTGACTGCAGGCACAGCTGGGAACTGATGGGGGGCACTGATGGGTGGTACTGATGGGCAGCACTGATGGGTACAGGTGGGTGGCACTGCTGGGCACAGGTGGGTGGCACTGATGGGCACTTGTAGCTGGCACTGCTAGGCAAAAGTGGGCTACACTGGTGGGTGGCACTGGTGGGTACAGGTGGGTGGCACTACTAGGCACTGATGGGTACAGGTGGGTGGCACTGCTGGGCACAGGTGGGTGGCACTGATCGGTGCCGATCCGTCCTCTGACAATTGCTAGTTGTCGGCAGTACTTTCCTTACACTTATACTTCCCCAACTTCCTGTAGCATTGCTTCCTATCCTGAGCTCATGAACCATTCCAACAAGTTCATTAGCATATAAATAGGCAACTACTAGATTCCAAAAACAACACATGTAACTCAAAATGTTATTTAACAGATCTGTGCTATAAACGTTCACCAAAATAGTCACAGCAGCACCACATTCCACCTCTTGATTTTCATAGCACATGTGTAACATTTTAGTTACTATACATGTGTTGCTTTTGAAAGCTAGACCTCTACTATTCATATGCTTATGAACTCGTTGGACTGGTTCATGAGCTCAGGACAGGAAGTGATGCTACAGGAAGTATGGGGAGGGGCCGGAGGACTTTGGACAGCCATGTGCTCAGAAGACAAATTAACTCATTGTTTTGCAGAACTCCAAGAAGCAAGGAGCAGCCTGGAGATCAATCCTGAATCAAAGAATGAAGACTCCATCACCAGGAAGGACCAAGTTAAGTAACTGCTAAGTGCATGCCTATCACATACATTGTACATGCTTGTTTGCTAGGATGGATCGCTAGCTTGTGTGTGTTGTAGGCACACTTTGAGATACGTAAATTGTTTTTTTTTTCCTGCAATTGTATGTGCAGCATTTCTGTTTAGTGAAGCAAGCATTAATGCACCACAGAGCAGGGGTGTATTTACCACAAGGCAAACAAGGCAGTTGCCTAGGGCAGCATTTTTCAGGAGGGCAATGCTGTCCCTTGAAAGAAGGAAAGGAAGAAGGGACACACGCAGCACGGGGACCAGGCGGGATCTGAGAGGGGCTGTGGGCTGCTTGATGGTGTATGCAGAGCCTGACTCTTGTTCCTGGGGAGCTGTGAAGGTGAGTGTCCTATCTCTTGCTGAGGCGGGAGGAGGGGGGGTTGCCAGTGTATGGGGAACAGTGGTAGTGGAAGGCGCTCTCGGATGGGAGCAGGGGCTAGGGTGTTGTTGGTCAATGTTATGCTCTCTTCATGGGGAAGGTGGGTATTGGCTGGTGTCAGGGTCCCTCCATGGGGGGGGGAGCCAATTTTTGTGTTGCCTAGAGCAGCACGAAACCTAAATACACCACTGCAACAGAGGTATTTATGCTTCCTTTTTCCTTTTGCCGCAAAGAACTTTGCAAGATGCAATGCATATCTGCATGGGGTTTGTATGTTCTCCTTGTTCTTGCCTGGGTTTCCTCCCACAAACCAAAGTGTCCTAGCAGGATCTTTGGCCCTTTTCCCCACTGGCCCCTAGTATGTGTGTCATGCCTTCAGCATATGCTTTTGTTATGTCCTTTGTTAGTTTATTATGCTATGGAATGTAAGGTAAATTGTAGTATCGCCATCTACTGGCTCTTTTGAATAATTACAGGTTTATAGATTCTTTTCTGTAGTTACACATATTGTTGCTTAAAAGCCACCGTAGTTTTCCCTTCATCCTATAGTCTTCACCATGAGGTCTTAGAGACATTTCCTAGCAGCCATCTTACATCTCCTCCATAGGACTCCACATGTATTCAGCTGCAGTTCTGTCGTCAGCCTATCGGAAACATCGCCGGTATGTTTAAAACCTATCTCTAGTGTCAGGGCGGGGCTGTGGAACGGACAGGTAGGCCTAGTGGCAGGGTAACGCACTGGCTGACGACAACCACCACCAACAGACCGAAGTCCCTCAGGGCGCGGAGTCTAAGTCCCAGGCTGCCCTTCACCAGGGTCCCTGATGGTGGGGATGGACTTGATGCAGCCAGGAACCAGGTCGCGGCCCCCGAGACACCCCGGCTGCGGTAATGGCCGCCGCCAATGGCGTGTAGCTGGTGAAAATGACAATAGCGTAGTCAGGCAAGCCGGATCGACAACAAAGGGACAAAACGGTACAGAACAGTAGACAGAGAATCGCAGGTCACGGGCCGGGTTCAGCAACAGAAGGTCAGATCAAAGGAAAACACAGAGAATGGTCTTAATCACAAGCTGAGTCAGATACCAGAAGAGTCACGAGCATATACACAGAGCTGTAGGAAGACAAAGACACAAGTGCAAAGAGCATGTGCGGGCCACAGGCTTATATGTCATCAGCCACACCCCTCTGGGGGATGGACCTCAGAGACCTGAAGGCATAAAAGGATTCCCACCATGCACAGCAGAATCCAAGATGGACGCCAGCACATGGAGTAACATAACCTCAGGTAAAAGGTAGGACCTTGACAGTTAGTTAGACTAATGTGTCAGGACTGTATATTTTGTATATTGTATACACTGATGGAATGTTATTTCTTTCATTTGTAGTTTTACTCTTAACTCCCCTGCAATAAACGTTGAAAAGAGGACCTAGCGCCTGCATCAATGAGTTGTTAAGGGAGGGGGGTTATCTGTCTGTCTAATTATACCTCAGCCACGTATAGTGAGGGCAGAACAACGTGAGTTAGGGATCTTAGATTGTAAGCTCCTTGAGGGAAGGGGCTGTTGAGAATGTATGTAATGCACTGTGTAAATCACTAGTCCGGTTGCTGTGAATTATACCCACTTTACGAGTGGGGGTGTGTAGGTGGACTCACTTTATTCACTTTACTTTATGTATTTATTCATATTTGATAGTCACAAAGAATTTTTGTGTTTATTTCTTTATTTAATTTATGTTTATATAATTTTTTTTTTGTCTCACGAGTGACTTGCATGGCATCACAGAATATTGTATTATTTGAGAGGTAATGCACTATATTTAGTTTATATTTTTTTTAGGTATCTTGGATTTGAAGTGACGAATTGGACATTTTATCACGTTTGGAAGATTGAATAGTGTGGACATTTGGTGGATTATTTTTGAACTTTATTTGGGACATTTGGCGAACAACTTTTGAACTGTGTTTGGGACATTTTGAAGTAAAGGAAGGGTATTAGGTCTGGGTGAAGGTCTGAAGAAAAGGTTTTTTGATATTTGCACTTTCAAGGGTGAAAGATTTAATTTTCTTTGGGGATATACAGAGATTTTAGTAGTGATCTGTTACATGTTTGCCTGTCTTAGAAGTGTATTATGAAATCAGAACTCATAGACATGGTGGACAAATGGCGCTTAGCCTGTTGACTCCTCCAATCAGATTTTGAGTCACATGACGGCTCTTCCTGACACTGCTGATCTCTTCCTGAACTCTGAGTGTCTGATATGGGCAAACAGAATCACCTGTTGGGGAATCGGCTCTTCATCAATGTAATTTCTTACTTCTAGGAGAAAAAAGAAACATACACGTTATATAAACGCTGAAAAAATTCACAGGAGTGTAACCCTTTTTATCCTTTTATAGCCTTCTGCATGTTAGATGCATCTTTGTTTTCTCCTGGGATAATAATTATAATTCCTGTGATTGTGTCTGCACTCTTGTTATTAAAAATGTCCCCTTAAAGGAACACTCCATTTTTTTTCCCCATGTACAATTCCTGCACAAGTCACTCCCTATGTAATGGTCATCATATTTCCACAGCAGAGCACCAAAGTGTCCCATGATGAATTCACAGTGGATGTGAAGGCAAAACTCTTTTTTTTCTAGTTTGAGGAGTGTGGAAGGGATTTTTTTTGCTGTCTGTGTTCCCATTGGAGAGATTTACCCTTTGACCATTGTCCCCAAAATAGAAAGTGAGGAGGAATGCAGAATGTTAGAGTTGTCACCAGCAGATGAGGTAAGGGGAACTCTTCCAAAGAGAACACCGGTTCTTGTGACAGCTGCCTAAGGTGTGGAATATTCCATATATTCCCTCATTTTGGGAGATTTCATTTATGTTCCTGTTTTGTCTCTGGGGCGGGAAGTGACACCAGACAGCAAAAAAAAGCAGAGGCTCTAACCAAGAAAAAAAAAAGAAACTGTTTTGCTATCGATACACTTTAAACTTTTGATAGCTATGTGATTCCATCATCGGTGTCCCCATGCATACATTGCAATAAGACACCAATATGTACAGTATATATGATAGGCTGCCAATCTCCACCTCCCCCGCAATCACTGACAATCCAGATTAGCAGCAGATAACAGGAAAATGAAGTGTCTGCCGGGCCAGAGAATGTAGAGTTATCCAATTCTGCCTGCCATGGCACAGCAGGCATTCCTCATTGACACACCCATTGCCTATCCTGTTTTCTTCCCTCCCCTGCTCTGTGCAGGCGCCCTCCCCAACACACCTACTAATTATTTAGTTTCCTTCCTCCCCTGCTTTGCGCAGGGTCCCTCCCCCAATACACCCATCAACTAGACTATCCTGTTCGCTCCCCTCACTGCTTTGTACAAGTCCCCTCCCCAACACACCCATTGAATATCCTTTTTCCTCCCTCCCCTGCCCTGTGCTGATCCCCTCCCTACACACCATTGACTACCCTGCTCGCTCCCTCCCCTGCTCTGTGCAGGCCCCCCCCCCCCAACACACCTACTGACTATCTAGTTTCTTCTCTCCCCTGCTCTGTGCAGGCCCCTCCCCCCCAACACACCTACTGACTATCTGTTTCCTCCTTCCCCTGCTCTGCGCAGATCCCCTCCCCACACACCAATGACTCTCCTGTTTCCTCCCTCCCCCTGCTCTGAGCAGGCCCCACCAACACACCCATTGATTATCCTGTTTCCTCCCTCCCCTGCTCTGCGCAGGTCCCCCCCAACACACCTACTGACTATCCTGTTTTCTCCCTCCCCTGCTCTGTGCAGATCCCCTCCCAAAACACACCCATTGACTATCCTGCCTCCTCCCTCCCCTGCTCTGTGCAGGTCTCTTCCCAGACACACCCATTGTCTATCCTGTTTCTTCCCTCCTCTGCTCTGCACAGGTCCCCTCCTCTGACACACCCATTAACTATATTGTTTTCTCCCTCCCTCACTTTGCACAAGTCTTCTCCTGGCTATCCTGTACCCCCTGCACAGGTCTCCTCCTTGATGCACCCATTGCTTATCCTGTTTCCTCCCTCATCAACGCAGGTTCCCTCCCCAACACACTAATTGTCTATTCTGTTTCATCCCTCCCTTGTTCTGCACAGATATCCTCTTCAGCGCATCCATTGGCTATCCTGTACTTCCCTGCACAGATTTCCTCCCCTGAACACACCCATTGCCTATTCTGCTTCACTCTTTTCCCTGCACTGCACAAGTCTCCTTACCCAACACACCAATTCTTTACTCAGCTTCTTTCTTTCCCTACTCTGAACTGGACCATTCCCTGACACACCTATTGCTTGTTCTGTTTTAACCCTCCATTTTCCTGCTTAGGTCTCCTCCATGGAGGAAGCAGAGAACAGTGCTGGGGCAAGGTCTTTAGGCACCCAAGGTGAAGCGCCTCCCCTACATGTGCTGCCAACCACTTCACTAGCATAGGTTTCAGGTTCTGGTCTTCCCGCCTGCCCAGTTGAAGTGCCAATTTGACACTTCTGCTTACACCTTGACCTGGCCCTGGCAGACAGCCATATGGACAGGGTTCCTGTGCTGCTTATTCCCCTAGTCTGGCCATGAATGCCATGTACTAGCGCTGACGCAACTCTTTCACTCAACGATTGACTGGTCAATAACCTTGGGTCTTTCCGATGTCATCCCATGTACAGCGCATCCAAAAAGTATTCCCAGCTCTTAACTTTTGCCACATTTTGTGATGTTACAGCCTCATTCCAAAATGGATTAAATTCATTTTTTTCCTCAACATTCTACAAACAATACCCCATAATGACAACGGGAAAGAAGTTTGTTTCAAAAATCTTTGCAACTTATTA